AGGTATCCCAGGGCGAGGGTACCTGCGTGCAAGACTGTCTGTCTGAAGGCCTGGAACCCTCCGAGGTTTAGGGGCTTAGGGCTTAGGGTTTAGGGTTTAGGGTTTAGGGGTTAGGGGTTTAGGATTTAGGGGTTTAGGGGTTCAGGGGTTTAGGGGTTTAGGGGTTTGGGGGTTTAGGGATTACGGGTTTAGGGGTTCGGGGTTTGGGTCTACGGCTGATCCTCAACGGAACTACAAAGGGTCGCTTGAAAGCACTTAGGGGTTTGGGGGTTCAGGGGTTTAGCTGGTTTAGGGGTTTGGGGTTTTAGGCCTTAGTGTTTAGGGTCTGGGGGTTTTTTTCGGATTTAGAGTTTAGGGGGTTTACCGTTTATACTAGACTTATACGGTTCTGCATGTTGCGGGGCTTCATGAGCTGGGCTACTGCTTACTCGGGGTTACTGCAAGGTCTTAGGATTCACAGGTGAGGCAAAGGCACCAAACCTCAAACTACAACTAGCCAAACCCTAAACCCTAATAGGAAGAGGTTCAGGCTTCAGGGTTCAGGGTCCTAAGCCCTAAACCCAAAACCCTGAACCCTAAACCCCTAAACCCCAAACCCAAAACCCTAAACTAACCCTACACCGTAAACCCCTAAACCACTAAACCCCAAAACCCCTAAACCCCTAAACCCTAAACCATAAGCACTAAACCCCTGACCCCCTAAACCCCGAAACCCCTAAAACCCTAAACCCTAAACCTCTAAACCCATAAACCCTAAACCCTTCAAGCTCCAGCACCCCTGCCTCGGCATCCTCGCCGGTGATCACAAGGTAGGCCCCTGGAAGCTGGACATCGTCAGGCAGATGAGTCCGAAGAGACACGAGGGTTTTAGGGTTTAGGGTTTAGTGGGGCTCCTTTTCGAGGATCTATAATAAGGGCTTGTACTAGGGTTTAGCTACAAGCGTACTATAAGGGTAGTTCTACAAAATTTGGGCCCCTTCTGGTTGAGGGTCCTTTTAAAAGGGTGCCGTACTGT